GACGATCACGCCGACGGCGACGACCACGACGACGAAGACGACGACGACGATGATGATGATGATGTCGAAGCTGATGCTGCTGATGATGGTGCTGATGATGATGCTGATGATGATGATGACGATGCTGATGATGATGGCCATGATGATGATGTGGATGATGTTGATGCTGAGAATGGTGATTCTGATAATTCTGATGCTGTTGCTGCTGCTGATGATGATAACGATGATGCCAATGATTATGATGCTGCTTCTGCTGGTGAGGATGATAACCATGATGTTGCTGCTGATGATGCTGATGATGATTATGATGATTCTGATGAGGAGGCTGATGATGAGGATGAGGACGACGATGATGACGACACCGCCGCCGCTGCCGATGATGATGATGATGCTGATGATAACGATGATGGTGCTGATGATGATGATGACGGTGGTGATGATGCTGATGAGTATGATGATGGTGATCATGGGGGGAGCAGGACGATGATGAAGATGAGGATGAGGATGATGATGCGGCTGATGATGCTGATGCTGCTGATGATGATGATGATGGTGATGATGATGCTGTACCTGATGATGATGATGATGATGATGATGATGATGACGATGATGATGATGATGATGATGCTGATTGTGATGATGATGCTGATGATGATGATGATCATGCTGATGCTGATGGTGAGGAGCAAGAAGAGGATTACTTTGAGGATGTGCTTGTTGTTGTGGGTGCTGTTGGTTCTTATGGTCGTGATGATGCTTATGATGGGCACTGATGATGCTGATTCTGATTATGATGATGATGTTGATGCTGCTGATCATGGTGCTGACGATGATGATGATACCGATGATTATGATGATGATGCTAGTGCTGATTCTTATGATGCTGACGATGCTGATGCTGATGCTGCTGATGATTATGATTGCGATGCTGCTGATGATGATGCTGATGCTGATTATGACACTGATGCTGATGATGCTGCTGATGCTGATGAAACTGCAGACGATGATGTGCTGATAATGCTGATGCTGATGCTGATGCTGATGACGTTGATGACAATGCTGATGATGATGATGATGATGATGATGATGATGATGATGATGATGATGATGCGGGTGATGATGATGATGATGATGATAATGATGATGATGGTGATGTCGATGATGATGCAGATGATGATGTTGATGGTGATGCTGATGATGATGCCTATTATGATGATGCTGCTGATGATGCTGATGATGATGTCGATGATGATGACGATGCTGATTGTCATGTTGATGATGCTGCTTATGATGTTGATGATGATGACGATGATGATGCTGTTTCTTGTGATGATGCTGATGCTGATGCTGATGCTGCTGATGATGATGAGAAGGATGATGATGATGATGATGATGATGATGATGCTGATGCTGATGCTGATGCTGATGCTGATGCTGATGATGATGCTGATGATGATGATGATGATCCTGATGCTGCTGCTGCTGTTGATGATGATGATGCTGCTGCGGCTGATGGTGATGCTGATGCTGATGCTGATGATGCTGATGATGATAATAATGATGATGCTGCTGATGATGATGAGGCTGCTGATGATGCTGCTGCTGATGATGATGATGAGGATGATGATGCTGATGATGATGCTGATGATGCTGATGATGATGACGCTGACAATGCTGATGCTGCTGCTGATGTTGACGATGAGGAGGAGGAGGATGAGGAGGCGGAGGAGGTGGGAGGAGGAGGGGGATGCTGATGAT